TCCTGAGGGGAGCGCGGCCGCCTTGGCAGCCCCTTGCTGGGGCAGTGGAGTCATCTCCGGCCCCGCAGCGGTCAGGGCAGCCTTTCCTGAGACAAATGTCCCTTCATAGCGATTCCTGTTCACTCCCAAAGGCCAACGGCTCCACCATGGCTGCTGGGAGTGAGTGAAAAGTAGGTTTTTAGATTTGTTTGTGGCCAAAGGCAAACCGAGCAGGGCTGCAGCTGCCCAGGCCGGAGGCTCCTCAGGCCACGGCCTTGGAGCTGCCATCCCCTCCGTTCACTTAGGAGAGTGGGGACGGTGTCAGGAGGGCAATATCCCCCCATCTCATCTCCAAATGCCCTGGTGAACCCCTCTGGGGTGGAGCCAGGCCGCTGGCTGCCTCCTCATTGCCTCTCCCTTGGCAGCAGCCAGGTAGTCATGCCCAGCCTTTGGTTTGCTGCCTTCTCCTGTCGCTGGCTGCAACAATGCTCTTGGCTGGACCAGCGCTACCTGAATCCAGCCCTTTCTATGTCTCTTGGGACTCGGCTGAGGGTGGCTGTCCTTGCATCACCCCAAAAGCCTGCTGTAAATGTAGAAGTGATAAGAGCAGTCAGCTGGCTGGGAGGGGAGAGGAGGGAGGAGGATGTGTGGGGAAAGTTGAGGGTCTCTGCCTCTCAACCTGCAGAGCCCTGCACTGGTCAGAGCTTCCCCTTGGACTAACCGGTCTTAACAGCAAGGTAAGGATCAGACCCAGCCTGTAGATGAGTCATGGAGAACAGGGCTTGCCTAGCAGGATTTGCAGAGACCTTGTGTGGGGCACGGGAACTGCTGAATAATGGAAATAATGATATGGGGAAAGGCTTTGTTGTTTTCTAAAATGGGGCTGGAGGAATTATTGGCAGCAAAATAGTGCCCAGAGCTGCAGCGTCCAGGTAGTTTTCCAAGCCAGCTCCGTGTTTGCTGCGACTCAGACCCTGCTTGAACCTAGGGCTGGGGTCACCAGCAGGTAAAGGAGAGGGACTCCGTCTGGTTAGATATTAAAGAAAATAAGCCTGCCATAACTTTCTGAAGACACAGTATCACCCAGTGGAGCTCCTGCTTTGCTGTTAGCTCAGTAATATGGTGCAGGGCTGCTGAGATTAGCAGCATGGAAAGGATGTGAGGACAACTACTGTCTTTTAAAAAGAGAAGTTTAAACATCTAGAAAAAAAGCCCCATCTTCCCTCCTTTCTGTCTGGGCCCTTTGAAATATCTCCAAACCATTCCAGCTCCCTAGATTAATCCAGCAGCCGGGATTAATCTGTAGGAAAAATATCCCTTTTAAGTCACTACAGTAGTATTTCAATCAGAAGCAGCAGTGATGTCCCATTTTAAATTAACTGCAGGTAGTAAAGGTTGCTCTGCCCTCCTACAGCCAGACACTGGAATAACATGAACATATGCTTCAAATCTGACTCTGTCAAAGGTGCCCAAAGGGGACAGGCAGGATCCCACAGACATCAGTATGAGCCCAAAGCTTCTCATGTCTCTATTGTGTGAAGTAGAGAGCAGTTAGAAGATCTCTGTTTTATCCCAGAACAACTTCACCCCCTTGACTCTTGAGTGGGGTGGACAGGAGGTGGAGAAATCCAGCTGCATTGCTGGGCTTTCCGGAAGGAGTTAAGGCAGCTTTTGGAGATCAGCTTGCCCAGTTGTGATGTTGGGCTCCACACCAGGCCCGCAGGAGCTGCTGAGCGCTAGTGTCACCTCTCTAAAATGGAGTCTGAAGCCTCTGAAAGGGGGGTGAGCAGTTTTATGGACAGAAGCAGTGGCTTGCTGCAGACACCATGCTTATTGCTGTAAAAAAAAGCCCAAATCAAGGCAGTCTGGGGAGCAGAAGGGATCGGGCAGATCCTCAGCACAGCCTGCTGGGAGCTGACACCCAGGTCACTTATTTCACAAGGCCAAACCCTCCTGCCCCAACAGGTTGCAGACCTCAGCCTGGCACCCGTCCTGCTGGGACTGGTCACAGCGTGGGGGCAGCAGGATGGCCACCTCCCTCCAGGACAAGTCCTGCTCCTCTTTGGGTTTGTTTGGCAGCAAGGAGGTTTTTACAGTATTGTATCTCAGAGAGAGACAGGTCTCATCCCTTGAGGGATCTGGAGAGAAGGCCTGTAAAAACATTTTCATTTCCTGAGAAATTCCAATATTTAACCTGTATTGCCACTTCAAATCCAGCTGAAACTGCACATCTTCCTGGGGAATGGATGCATGTTTGGAAACCTCAAAGTATTGTTGCTCTGAAAGGGTAAATCCTAGTTCCTTTTCCCAGTCCTGAGCTGGGTGTTAGAAACGGTTTCATATCCAAACACAGAGAGAGAGTGGCATTTGCGTCCCAGTTTCAGAAGGACTGACACCCGCCCCAGGATATGACACGGTGATGGATGAGCCCTCAGTGGTGTAAATTGGGGTAGCCCCGTGAAATGCCGCAATACCAGGGGTGGCTCAAATGCCTGGGGCTTTTCTCCTGAAACCTTTTGGCTTCTATGCAAATCCAGGAGAGAGCAGAGGGTCTCTGCAGGCATCTGTGTCATCCCTGCTTGGCTGGGCCAGCACTGCTGGTCTCCCCCTCGGACTCAGCCCTGAATCCTCTTTCCTGGCAGGGACTTTTACTAAACTTTTCCCTTCTCCATATATTTGCTGAAGTCTCATAATGCTCCCCTTCTTCTTTGCCCGGTGCTAAATACGAGCCGATTACTCAGTTCCAAGAAACCAGATCTTTATGGCCAAGCGTAATAAACAGTACCCAGACATGTGAGACAGCGTGGTAACAGCTATTTCTGGTCAGCAGATTTGTTCCCTCATATATTGGCTGCTCTGAGCTTCCTCAGAGGAGCTGAGGTCACTGCTGAGTTTCAGACTGGAGTTTCAAGATGGAATTCGGGAACATTTAAAAGCTGAATTTTTGTTGTTGATTTTTTCTTTCCCTTTCACCTGCACTCTGAACTGGTCACCCCAAAGGGCAGCTGGCCCCACTGGTTACCCAGCAGTGCCTCGTTGTGCCCAAGGGCCTGGGGGGGCGGGAATGAACACCCTCTTCTACACGGTCCTGCAATGCTGGGCTTCATCTTACCTTGCTGCTGTGTGGGAACCTTTGTCAGGGCTGCTGGGACTTGATTCACCCCATCTGACGTGCGCTTGAGTCAGGCAAAACACACCCAGCGATCACCCCCTCGTTCCACCTGGAGTCTGTGTCACCCCAGACAGTGGAGCTGTTGGCGGGGCTGAGCACAGCCCCACACCCCAGGAACCAGTGGGTGCTCCCGGTTTCCCAAGGCAACCACCCAAAATCCCCAGTCCTTTTTTAACACAGTGAAGGCACTGGCACTGGTTGAGAGTTGAACACTCCCTCTTGCAGTCATGGCCCTCGATGCCTTTAACATAGCTCAGGGGGTTGCAGGGCTTAGGAGGCAGTTTCCTTCCTTCCCTTGGCCTGACCCAAAGAGTATATGAGTCCGTGGGAGTTTTTCTTTTGCTTCACTGAATGTCTTAAAGAACAGGACTCCTGTACCCCTACTCCTCACCTCTCCTTTCTCACCAGGTCCCGTTTCGATCCTGCCAAGATGGCACCCAAAAAGAAAATCCCCAAGAAGCCCAAGGTGGATAAAGAGGATGCACCCATCACCCCAGTGATGGTGGAAGATGCTTTGGTAGATATCGAACACCTTAATCATTTGAATACTTTGTATGACAGTGGCTCCGATGGCTTCCACTGCACGGCCACGGAGGTTGAAGCACCGGACCATGGAGCCAGCCTTCTGGAGGGGATGAACCAGATGTGCCAGAAGCGGTTCCTCTGTGATCTCACCGTTGCCACCAAAACGAAGTCCTTCGAGGTGCATAAACTCGTCCTGGCTTCCTGCAGCGAGTACTTCCACTGCCTGCTGCAGAGAGACCCTCAGCTGTACCAGGTGGAGCTCCACGACATCTCCCCACTGGGCCTGACCACCATCATCACCTACGCCTACACGGGGAAACTGAGCCTCTCGCTGTACACCATCGGCAGCACCATCGCCGCAGCCACCCAGCTGCAGGTGCCGGCACTCCTGAACATGTGCAGTGACTTCCTCGTTCGGGAGATGGCCGTTGAGAACTGCGTGTACATCGCCAACATCTCGGCCACCTACAGCCTCAACCAGGTGAAGGACGCCACCCGGAAATTCATCCGGGAAAACTTCCTGGAGTTCTCCAAGACTGACCAGTTCATGAAACTCCCCTTTGATCAGATCAATGAGCTGCTGAAGGATGATGGCCTGCAGATACCCAATGAGGTTGCAGCCTTCCAGATCGCTCTCAAGTGGCTGGAGTTCGACCCGAAACGGGTTCGATATGCTGCTGACCTCCTGAGCAACATTCGATTCGGCACAATCTCAGCTCCAGACTTGATCAACCATGTGCAACCTGTGCCACGCATGATGCAGGATCCGCAGTGCCACAAGCTCCTTGTGGATGCTATGAATTACCACCTCCTCCCCCACCAGCAAAACAGCCTTCAGTCTCGGAGAACCAGGATTCGGGGAGGCCAGAGGGTGCTTGTCACTGTTGGGGGTCGTCTGGCTTTGACCGAGAAGGCTCTTAGCAGGGAGATCAGTTACAGGGACACAGAGGGAAACTGGAACAAGCTGACAGAGATGCCAGCAAAAAGTTTTAACCAGTGCGTGGTGGTGATGGATGGATTCATCTACGTCGCGGGTGGCGAAGACCAAAATGATGCCAGGAACCAGGCCAAGCATGCTGTCAGCAGCCTGAGCAGGTAAGATGGGCTCCACCTGCCCAGGCAGACCCTGGGGAGGGGTTCAGAGCTCTGCCATGTCTGCCTGTGCCCCAGTATCCCCCATGGGGTGAGGGCTGAGCAGAGTCAGAAAGGTTCCTCTTTGCTATCCATCACCAGGAGGTAAGTCTGGCCTCTGGGATAACACTGCCAGGGAGGGACAAACGCAGTGAGGCCCAGCACAGGGTGTGGGACTGTGAGATGCAAAAGCTAGCAACCGCTTCCAGGGATTTGGTCTGCATGACCCCGGCCTGGGCTTCCCCTGGGGACTTTGACACCTGGGCTCTGCTGCCCCCATCCTCTGGCAGCCCACAGCACTGGTGCAGGATGAGGGCAAGGCAGGGCCTCTTTGAAGCCGCGAGGCTCCTGGAAAAATGGGAGCCCTCATTATTTAGAAGTAACCCATTTTGTTACTCTGGAGAGCTCCCCTTTTCAGCCACTGGATGTTCCTCCAGCCAGTGCCAGCCTTGACCTGGTCTCTGGTTTGCCTGGATTCATTCTAAGGTAGGTTTACTGTCTGTAGGATTCCTGTTGCCCTTCAGGTTTTCCTCCCTCCTCCTCCCTTTCTCTCTTCATCATTTAAATGACAGGGTTTGTTTCCTAAATCCTCATAAACCTGTCACTGGATTGCCAAGGGATTACTATTCAAAGAAAGGAGGAGTAACCATGGCAACATGACATGCAGTACTTCGTTTGCAATCTTAACCTGAACTTTCCAGTGTCTCTGCCCACGGCTTGGCTCAGCCACCTGAGACTCCACACGCAAAGTCGCTGGCACTGCTCGAGGCCAGGCCTTCATGGGCTGTGATCCCACCCCTTGGTTAGGAGCGCTTTCTGTCACTGGGCTCTTTCTCCTGCACCAAGTGAGGTTTCAGCAACCCACCAGCAGATCTCCTTTCTATTTCTGGCCAGTAGCTTATCCCAGCCTGAACTTAGTCCCTGTGGCATCGCTCTGGGGACACAGCAGTTCCAGTTCCCTCTGCCATCTTGTGGGCACACAAGGAGCTGGCTTCTTATCACGTGCCTGGCTTTGGCCTGGCAGGGTGGGCAGGGAAGACCTGCCCCTAGGTCCTCTTCTACCTGCCAAGACCCAACAGAAGGGACAGTGGCAGTGCTTGGGGACACCTCAGATCGAGAGCATTCACCACTTCCGAGCCAGGCCAGAGCTTGTGGGAGCAGGAGCAATGCTGGGCCATCCCAAAGGTTAGAGAGGCAACAACCCCAGCAGCTGCAGGTAGGATCCAGTCCTGTGCAGTGCCGTCGTCTCCATCTGCACTGCCTGTCCAGATGCTTTTTTACTGCTGGAGAAGACAGAGAGGCTCTTCCAGAGCAGGAGTTATCTCCTCTGAAAGCAGATGTCTGGCAGGCCCCGCTTCTCCCCGTGGCACTGAGGCTAGTACTGGACAGACAGATCTGCCCTTCATCCCCCAGGTACGACCCGCGCTTCAACACCTGGTTGCACCTGGCCAGCATGCAGCACAGGCGGACACACTTCAGCCTGAGCACCTGCAACGGGCTCCTCTACGCTGTCGGCGGGCGCAACGCCGAGGGCGCGTTGGCGTCTGTTGAATGCTATGTCCCCACCACCAACAGCTGGCAGAGCAAGGCAAGCCTGGAAACGCCCCGCTGCTGCCACGCCACCACCATCATCGATGGCAAGCTCCTGGTCACT